GCACTATACCTATATTCATGAAAATTAATATTCAAGTGGTTTCAACATGCCTGAACAACTTTTAATTAATAAATGAAGTTGATTTCATTTGGCCAAAGTGGAGATTATAGTATATTTGGAAAAAGAAGTTTAATTTAAAAAAATTTTATATAAAAAATAAATGTAATATAAAAATTAAGAACTGAGATGATAAAAATTTGAAAATGACCTGACATAAATTTTTAATTAATTTTTTCATTAATTATAAATTTAAGTAGTTTAAAAATAAAAATAGTAAGAAAAAATATTTTTTATGAAATATCACATTAATTAAATTTATAAGTGTATTTAAGTGTATTTCTTTTAGAAAATAGTGATTATGTAATATCCAAATATTTAATCTTACAAATAGAAAAAAATGTAAAAAAATTTATAAAAAAAGAAAAATTTTTGAAAAAAATTTTCGTCTAACACTTTTTTATTTTGATTATCACAAGATCTACATGATCATCTACACGTTTCAATTTTTTTAACGAAAAAGAAATATATTTGAATCTATTTTATTGAAAATCAATAAAGATCAACAAAATCAAATACAAATATAAAACTTATTGTTTGATGCCTCAAGTTAATATGTAGCGAAAGTGGCACAAAAATGAATATTTTGTAATTTTATTCTAATGATATCAAAGAAGCAATATTGCAATAACAACGTCTATAGCTATATAGCTATTGCAATTGCAATTAGCAATATATATAGCTATATAAAATTGAATCAAAAAAGTTCACATTGAGCATTTCCGAAATTATGAAAAAATGCATGTAGATCGTATGACAAACTACAAATTAAGCGAAAAAGTGAATAAATTTGGAAGATGATCGTCAGAAATTTATCATCCAAAAGCATACCTGATACTATCGCTAAATAATAAATTAATGTCATAATTTTAGTGCGACCTGCATTTCATTATCTCGTTGATCCAACCCAACAATACCGCTATTATAAATATGATCGGACTAATACCAACCCTAATTTTAAAGTTATTTCTTTTTATTTTTTTTTTTACATTTTATTTTTGTTTTAGGAACGTTACTAACGTCGCTAACGTTCCTTTTTCCTTATTTTTTTTTGGGAACAGCCTCTTAAACTTTGAAATTGGGTGAAATGGAGGTATTTCTTTATTTTTTTTTTACATTTTATTTTTGTTTTAGAAACATTACTAATGTTTTTTTTCTACGACCTCCATTTCACCATTAAAGTTCAAGAGTAGGGATTGGAATCGATAATCGAATCAAAATTGAATCTCATTTGTTGAAGAGAAAATTGAAATTAAGCAAAAAAATTAATTCGATATTACATCCAAAAATTAAATGCATGATTTAATATATTTTCAAAAAAGAAAAATTGATCTTCAAAGACAAAATGATCGGCAAATGATCGGCAAGTTGGGTATTTAGTAAACGATTAGCAGTCACCCGTTGCTTCACATCGGGACCAATGAGTTTGTTTAAATAGAAAAATTTAGTATTACTAAGTAAATTACAGTAGTTTTTTGTTTATAATTAGGAATAATTAGTTAACAAAAAATAATAAAATAAATTATATTTATAATATTAGATAGAATGATATAAATTATATTTACAATAATGTAACTATTTATATTAATGATTTGACGTTTGAGAGTAGAATGAAATTCGGATTAATTAAGGAATTGTGAAATAATTATCAATAAAAATTGATTAATCTTTTTAGAAGTATTTTCGAAAAAATTTTAATATTATGAAAATATTACAAATATTTTATAAATTTTTATAATCATTTCTTATTATTTTATATTACGTCAATCTTAAACTTATAACCAACTTAGGAAAAATATTTGAATAATTAAATTGTATTAATAGAATCTGTTCATTTAATTTATTATTATTCTTTTGATATTCATTTTACTCGATAAATTATTAATTTAATTAAACCATTTGAATTAAAAAATATTTATTAAAAATCTGGTGATTATTTAGAGAATTTCGGATATGGATTTGGTTATAATAATCTATTATTAAAATAATCAACAATTTCTTTAATTTATTAATTAATCAAATATTGTAAATACAGTATATTAATTTTTTATTTGATTTTTATGATTTGAAAATCAAACTATTTATCCAGCGTTCAATTTAATTGAAAAAATCTCTGTGTTTCCCACTTCAAGTGGTAGTAACTCATTTTTATGACTTCGCAATGTAACTTATCAAATCCATTTTTTTCATACTGATAGTAGGGTCCATATATTCTTCGTGCACCGCCTTTCATTTTCGGTTCGTAACACTGCGAGACTCTTTCTTGATCCTATCCAAATTCCCGGGTTAGCGTCATAATTCATAATAAATAATATATGTTCTAAGACATCATTACATACCAGTTAAGCTCAAAGATACCAATATCGATTTCTTCTAGAAGTGTGCCAATTATCGGACTAAGAACTTTAACGATGAAGTCACGTTCTCTATGTTTCAAAATCAGGACATTTACTTCTCTTCGTAAGCACCATTCGATTTTAGTCCAATCTGCTGAGAGATCCACAATTCTTGATTCAATTGATCTGGAAATGTTTAGTGGTTAAGTAAAAACACACATTTATGAAAAGGAAGTCACAATAACATACTGCACTCGCAAGTTATCTTTTTTTAGTCGTTCCATGACCTTTATCCATACTTCTTCGAGGTTTAGGTTAGAGAACAGTAAAGTAGATACCTATATTAAATTGCCATTGAAAGATGCCAGAAGTTGTGAAAAAATGTAGTCAAAATAAGCGAAGATGTTCTCATTGCATTTACCTTATCTACAATTATCTTGTCAATAATTGCGTCATCTACCTCCTGGTCCTCTTCGTCATTAGTTTGAGCGCCACTTGACGCTTGTACAATTTCAGAAACCTTGAGAAGAGAAGAGAAGAGATATAAATATACAAATAAAGTAAAATATGATTTAACAATGATGAAAACAATGAACCTCAGCAGTTTCATCAACGTTGACACCATTTGATGTCATGGCATGACTGCTTACAGGAGATCGAAAAGATTCAACTTCATATCAATCATTTGTACCGCGACCTCTGATCCATATAGATCAGTTTTCATTTCAAATAAATTTTCATTCGCCTGTGAACCGGTTAGATTTTTTGCATATTGACCAAATAATACAAATTAAGAAATATCATTTACTTTTTTATCCATTCGGTCATAGAATGCTATAATCTCTTTGAACTGAAAAGATCTCTCTGCATTATTGTAAAGTTTTATAGCTTTATCCCGCGCCTTTTAATTTATTGAATTATGGATGCTTATTAATTGAAGTTGATCTTTAAACTCGGCTATAATATCCTCACGATTCTCAGTTGTCACCGCTGTGCAATTTTTCGCCAAAGATTCGAGACAATCGATGACGGACCATCTTGCATAGTTTGTTATTCTGAAGAAATTATCGATCCCTTTCGAAATGTTCATGCTAAATTAATGATAATCAACACTATTAATCAAAGGCAATAATCAACAACTAACATAAAAAAGTGGTTGGCATTGTAGAGGATTTCTGGAAAGAAGTTGCCAATCTCATGTGCTAAGCTTAAACCTAGCAGGAGCATGACAATTCCTTTCCAAGCATCGATCGAAGGAGGTCCACAGCATGTGGAACGGTTCCAACGCATCGTAGGATATTGTGGGATGTTATAGAAATTAACAAAGTAGATGTTTACTTTCCTGGCTTTCCTGGTTACTTGGTAATATATAGCTTGTTCGCGTTTTGGATTAGAAAAAGTTTTTTTTGATCTTTTGATCAATTTTAAACACGAAATCAAGTGATATTATTTCATTGTCACATCATAGGTATGGTCCCCGGGTAAAATTTTTGAGGTAAAAAATTCTTTCCCGCAAAAATCTGGAACAAAATGTTGCGAAATTAGACGTTATATTATCTATATACAAAAAACTTTCGTTTCCACATACACCATACACACTTCGGAAAGATTATAAATATATTTTTATCAATTTTTTACATATTTTTTCGTCATATTTTCTTCCTGTTGCTTTCCGTACTAAAATTTAGGAACAAACTATGTTTCGCAACGGTGTTTTAAAACAATACCTTATGGAAACTTCTCAAAAGGACTTATGTGCGAAAAATACCACCCCTAAGGAGCCTCAGGGAGGCTCGAAAGCTATCGTTCGTTTATACAAACTTACAAATTTCTGATACACGTGGTAGCGGCACACTGACTAACACCAAAAAATCCAGATATTTCCTCATCGAGTTAGATGAAAATGCCGATCTTTCTTTATCAAAACAAGATCTTTTTTCCGTTTACACCAATGATACAGAGATGACTCGTAGGATCTTCAACTCAACTAGTAAAAAAGTCCGGTTTAGTTCTGGGCCCACGTGATTTACCTGGGGTTCTATTTACCTTGTGGTACAGTAGGCTTTCATAGTGAACAACACTATTGCTCTCAGCATTTGTTTTATCGCAAAACCGTTGGCATTGTAATGCACACCTTTGCCCTATAACAGTAGTATTGTTTGATGATCAACTAAAGAAAAAAATCCCTAGCGATCCAGCTTTTTATCAGAATAATAACTAGCCTAAAGAAATTTATTCAACGCGTTTGGGTGTGAAATATGAAGTTATGATTAAAAAATATAACGAATTCCGTGGGAAGAAAAATCCATATCTTAAAAGCGTTATGGAACCAACCACTACTTACAGCAAAACAGGCGTTCGTGTCGAACGCTTATATTATAAAGAATATAAAAATCTTGAATTTGATATTATTAGATCACATCAACAAATTAGATGGAACCATTTAACAAAGAGCACTTTTAAACATGAACGACATGGTGGTTTTACTAAACCTTACATACTTGGTGGACTAATGTGCTGTGTATTTATAGATAAATAAACCTTATGGAATAACTCGGGATCCAGAAACAAATAATTATATGATTGTTTTTAATGATATATGTGAAAAATGTAGTAAAGTATGTAATTCAATACATTTTCAACGTAATTTTGAAAGTTGGACCAGTGGTAATGTGATTTTATATTTACCAGGTATGGTCACTACACCACTAAATCCAACGGCAGCTATGCCCATAATTTTAGTTAATACAGCATCTTTTATACGAAGAGAAAACAAATCGGAAATACGAATTTCTATATTTTTTTACATCATGGCTAATTTACATTTACTTAATGTAGTGATGGTGGTCTTGAGAATGAGGCTTTATACAACAAGTGCAGTTTTTGCGGATTTATTAATTAAAGGATTTGTTGGTACTAAATAAAATTTTTATTAAGAGAAATAATTTTTTAAAATTTTTTCAAAATACTTTAATTCAAAATTAGCCTGGATAAGATCCTAAACACTCAAACAATAGAAGCGTTCGTATCTTCATTAAAATCATTTTCTGATGTTGAATAAAATTAATTTTAAATGAATAATTAAGCAAAAACGAATCATTTCTTTTTAGGATCAACGTTAATAATCGATGATGAATTCATTCTAAATTGCAAATTGCGTGTTTTTGAAAATTCTTTATTTTGAAAAATTATATGTAAAAAGAATTGGTGAAACATGATTATTTATCAGCTAATTTTACAAATTTACGAAATTGATTCTTAAATATTACGGATAATTTACTATTGATAATTATCGTCACGTCACACTATAAACCACGTGAATTAATTATTTCCAAAAATTTTTTTAGATGCCTTTATTTGTAATAGTATACATTACATTTGTTTTTCCTTTCGTAACTGTAGGTAGTGTTTCGACTGTTTCGTGATCGGATTATTTAATTAAAAATTTAATGACGCCTTGAAGTACATTGTCATTGAGCTTAAATTTGATTGGCCAATTTCATTATTGTTAAATTAATCAAATTAATAAAACATAAAAAAAATAGATATTATACAATTTACTGTATATATAATTTATTTATTTTCTCGATTTTTATATATATACTATTTTTTATATTTCAATTTTTTTTTAAAAAATATAATTTAAAAAAAATAAAAGAGTAAATCCTAAATAATGACACCAACACACCAAACTGATTTGTAGGATGTAAAATATTTAATTTCGCATTGTAACAGACTTTATTCAACAGAGTATAATAATTATTTATTTATATAGTTCAAATTGTTCAAGTTTATTGAAAATATAAAATTGCTATTCTTATAAAGAAAGAAATAAATAATAAAATGAAATGAATTATTTAAATTACAAACTAAGTAACTTGTGTAAAATTCACTACTCTAGACTTAGTGTTTAAATAATTCTGACAATAATCATAATAAAAATATAAAATATGCCCTATTCAAAACCATCTAATAAAATGGAAATAAATAAATCGTAAAAAAGTAAACATTTTGTAGTATTATTGAAATAAAATCAAATAATGTTGATAAATTATTAAATTACCTTCTGGAATTTCAAATTCATCTTGATCCTTCGAATGTAAGTTTGGATTATTAGAAACATCATTTTCATCTATATATATTATAAATATAATTATGTTTAATTCAGTAATGAAAGGAATAAATAATAATCTCTTACCATCATCTGCAATATAATTTCTTTGTATATATTGAAAATTGGCTAGTATAATTTTATATAGTATATTTAAATTTATACACATTATTATTGTAAATTAAAATTTTCTTTAAAATAATTAATTACCCTTATTGCTATTTAATTTAATCTTTTTGGATTTATTATCATCAGTTAAATCTTCTTTTTCATCTTCTGTTTAAATAAACAAAAAGTTTGTTTTTTAATATAGTTTATTACTATCATAATAACCTGAATAAATTCTTTTGGATTTGCCCTTTCCTTCATTTTTGTTATCTATAAAATTGTTTTTTTGATAAATATTAAATGATATAAATTATTATAATTAATATATAAATGTATTCTTTCTTACCAATTATTGTAATTTGTTCAGTTTGGGATACAGATTGTTCAGAAGCAAATTCTTCAATTTGCATATCTAAAATAAAATAAAGAAAAAAGTCAATATTAGTAAATAACATTACAAAAATACTAATATTATCTGTTATAATTATATTTTAATTACCATTGACATCACTATCTTGCCTTTTAATTTGCTGTTGTATTGCATCTTCTTTAAAGATATCTATAATTTTAATTAGTAAGTAGTAACTAATATATTTATCAAAATTCTTACAATATGTATTAAATATTTTACTTACCGTTTTTTGAGTTTATTTTTAGATTGTTAAATACTTTAGGCAATATTTTGTTATTACACATTTTAAAGAATTATATCAATACTTTATACATGTCAAAAAATTTTTAATAACTAATTACTATCATACCTTTTGAAATACTATTTGATTTAGATGTACTTTGATTACTTGAATTATTAAAGTCATTGACTAAAAATAAAAAATTTATAAAATATATTATTATATGTAAAAATTAAATAAAATTTTACTTACTATTATTAGGAATACTAAATTTATAGGATTTACTATGAAATGCTATTAAAATAAAATTTTAATAAAAGCTTCAGCTATAAATAAATAAACCGTTAATTTTATGTTACCTTCTTGCTCTTCTATTATTAATGAATTTTTAAAAAAATATTAATAAAAATAATGGTAATAAAAAATTTAGTAATAAATATTTATACCTTCTGTTGCATTTCTTGGTTCAGGAAAATTTTCAAATTGATGAACTTTACTTATAAATAATCTGCTGCTTGTATAATTTGTTTCTAAGTTATTTGTTTCGAAGTTGCTATTTGCATCTAATTCATTTTGTGTATTTTGAAATAATGCATTAATTCCGCTTATTTTGTTTCTAAGTGTAACAATGTCAGGTCTCATTAATGGATCAGCATCCCAACATTGTTTCATTAAATTTTTATATTCTAAAGGAGTTCCTGGTACTATTCTTGGTCTTATACCATTGACTGTATTCATTGCAAGATAGTAACCATTTTCATGATTATTAAAAGGAGGCCGTCCAGATGAAATTTCCCACATAAGCATTGCAATACTATAAATATCAGATGCAAAAGTATATTTTCTTCCAGAAATAATTTCAGGTGCAATATATGGAAGATTTCCATAAATACTTTTTGGTGATTTATCTACAGGACCACAAAATCCAAGATCACTAATACACCAAGAATTATTAAGTTGTGAATATAATATATTTCCAGAATGCAAATCTCTATGGATTGAATTCTCTTCATGAATCTGATAAAGTGCTTCAATTATTAAAAAAGCAATTTTAATTCTTTCTTTCCATGTTAGTTGATTATTATTTTGTAATAAATATTCTCTTAAATCTACATCAAATTTGTTCATTACAAGCATATAATTCTCATTTGATGGATTTTGTGTTAGACCATAGCAATCGACAATTCTTGGATATTTACTGCCTATATTTAAATGTGATTTAGCCTATATAAAATATTTTTTATATTTGTAAACAATTAAAAAGTTCTTGAATATAAAATTATTTAGATGTTTAGATTTACAAACCTCTTCAAACCAACTTTGACTTGCGCCTTCAATATTTTCTAATTCTTTAAGTATTACACTTACTACAAAATTTTGTATTCCATGCACTTTAATTCTCTCTAATTGCTGTTTTTTAGAATCCCATTCTTTATATGGTCCATTAATCCAGTCTGCTGTATAAATTTTAGAGAATCCGCCTTTAGTTAGGTATTTAATATTCATTAAATTATTATAAGGGATCCATTCAACTATACGATCTGGTGTAAGCATTTCCGATTGACATTTTTGTATTAAGTTGTCAATATCATTATTTCCAGATGTCCAATTTGAAAATCTTGCTTTTAAATAATCTTGGACACAATATTCGCAATACAATGTAGCTAAACATTCTTTGTTGCAATTTTCACAAGTTCTTCTTGTTCCTGAATTATAACTAATTTTATCTCGGTCATAATCTTTATTAGTTAATCTTATTGCTTCATTTTTTTCATCTTCTGTAAGAGAACTATCAGCAAGAATTTTTTGTTTTATAAATTCAAAGTGGACGTGGAATCCCTTGTGAATGTTATAATCAAGCGATGACCATGCTTTATTGACTGCTTGATAAACTAATTCTCTTCGAATGGTAGACATGATGTCAATACTAGTATATTCATTTATTTGAATTTTATTTAAACGGTGGGAAAAAAAGAAAAAAAATTTATTTACACCAATTAATTGTGCAACATCAATCAACTTTAATATTGTCTACTGATCAACCTTGTACGACATCACATATATTCTTTGTTTACTGAAAACTTTAGTTGGTGATCATCATAAAATTACTACAAATAAATAATATTCCGCACTAAATACACCGACAACCTTGAAATCTTTTTTTCGCAAATCTAAAAAATTGTCACATTTTTTATTATTTCAAATTTTAATGATTAAAATTAGTGCGCATAAAAAAAAAAAATTTATAAGGACTTTGTTAATTATTAGAAAATATTTTAACTTGTAGGCGTGAGAATACAAAATTTCTAATGAATCTTTACAACTATTTCGAACTAAATACTTCAAATTAAAATCTCTTAATATTAGTTTAAATCAGTATTAATATTAAATGGAAGTGATTGATAAAAGTATTATTTTTGTAAAAGTATTCTGTATGTCAATGACGTATAAAATTGTGATGCTGATCAAATTATATAATAGGCTTACGTAATTAGAAAATTAGAAAAGCAAGAAGGATGTTGATCACAAAAAAGGTTAATCTAAAAATATGTTAAATAATTTTTTTTTTTGGATTTCATTTCAAAAATAATTTTATTACTTTACGTTATTTTGTAACTAATATGATAATTGTTTACTTACGTTAATACTTTACATTTAATCTGATCGCGAAGCTAAAAAAAAATATATTTATGAATAATTAATTACTACCATTTGAACAAGGAATCATAATTTCAATGGAAAAAAACTATTTATTTACTTTATTATTTCAAACAGTTATTCGTTCATCATTGATTTATATTCATAAGTATATTTTAAAAGAAATAATTTAAAGAAAATAAAAAAAATTACATTTACAACTCATCAATTTTGGATTCTGAATCTTTATTGAAAAAAAAGTGAATTATCTTCATGAATCAATTATAAGCTATAATGTCACATAAGTTCACAATAATAAAAATTTGAAAATTGCAAATCACAATTTATAAACTTACCATTTTTAGTACGTGTTTTATATAGTCCCAATGGGTGAATTGATTGTATTAGTAAAACTATTGATTATTTGTAGGTTATGTAATATAATATGTCAGTTTTTCATATTGACAGTTTATTATAATTAGTGTTTTGTAAATATATTTGTATCAACTGCTGGACCAATAAATTTTTCAAAGTATGCCAATAACTTTGGAAATTACACATTTGCCAAATTCAGAAGTTAGGAAATAAAAATTAATAATTGATATTTATTATTTTGCTAAATTCTGCTAATGGAATCCGAAGAATTCAAAAATTCAATTTGTTAATGTGGATTTAGTTTTGTAAAATATTATTTTTTTTTTAAGGTTTCAAGAACTTTTTTCGTGTGTTTTATTAAAAAAAAGAAGAAAAAAAAAATTTATTAAATATTTCATAACTATAGAAGAAAAATAAAAATCAATAACATTATCCAGTATTATTTTGATTATTTAATAGATTATTGAAAAGATTAAGAATACACTGTTTCGCATCATCATTTCTTTCTTGTAACTTTAAATCAAATTCTGTCCCTAGAATACATAGTAAAAATAAAAACAAGTAGGGTGTGACGCAGTGTGACAAATTATATATTATTAAAAAATCACATGACACCGGCGAAATCACCTCCGTGATTCGACTGATTCGTAGCAATTATATTTTTAACATGTACTGTACCCTGTATGGTTATTTTTATAGAAATATCAGACAAAAATCTGAAATACCAACTGAAATTAAATGATGCTTGAAACAAAAGAATGTGCTTGCTTGGCTCACAAAATAAACAAGCAATTGGTATATAACATTTTATTTTTATTCATGATCTAACTATAGATTAAGCGGATTCATTTTTTTAGGGCTTTTTTATAATTTTTTTCTCTAAGAATTTTTATTTTTCTCTAAGATAATTAATTTTTTTACTAAAAAGGGAGATCTGCCTGGTATTAGTAATACATCTTTTCGCAGAGATAATACTTTTTATGTCATAAAGAGAGTACGTCATTGCGATTATGTATAATGCGTAGTCACGTTGCAGTATTGGGATTACAAAATACTATAAATATGTGGAAACACGCAAAGTTAGTCACACCTACATCGTGACAGTTGAAAGAATAACGGATTTTCTGAAAATACAGTAAAGCCACACGGTTAAATCATCGCTTTCTAGAAATTTATAGGTTAGTGGCTATTTTTGTATTACCTCTGTTCCATAAAAAATTTATTTTCAATGTTCCTGAAGTGAATCAACCAATTTATGAAAATACTTATCGTATCAAATCAAATGTTGAAAGAAAAAGTTACGAAAACCAAAAATCCCGATAATCGGAAGTTAAATCTGTTGATGACAGTGTAATAATCATGTTTTTATTTTGATTCTCCGACTATTGTAAATTCCTATACAAAATCAGTAAATCAGTAAACTTTGTTTATACTTCTTTATTTTTATTAACTTTGCTTATACGTTTTCTTTTATTTACTTTGTTTAAATTATGTCATCGTTGCCATTTAGAGGGTCAGTTTCATACAGAAACAATAATATAAATATTGTAAAGTTTGGAGTAAACGTAAAAATGAAATTAAAAAGAATAAACCACGGAGTGGTGAGGATATATTTCGAAAACGACCAAGGAAACCACATCCGAATACCTTCCGGTATTAGGTTGTGGGATACATCAAACAATGTTGGTATACGACGTGAAAGTTTAGGAGGTTACCAATTTTTCTCAATCTCATGGGTACATGATTACGAGATGACGTATAATGGGGAAGCCGTATATGTGTTAACTAACCAGAAGCAACAATCAGCGCAAGGTTCCGCAATATTCACCTATTCAGTTGAAGAGAATGGGTCAGACTCAGAAGACCATACGGATAATGAGAGTGAATCAAGCAGTGAAATGAATGGAAACGATGAGACGAATGGGGACGATGAGACGAACGGGGATGATGAAACAAATGGGAACGATGAGACGAACGGAGACGATGAGACGAATGGGAATGATGAGACGAATGATGAGGATACAGATGGCATGAGCGAATGAAGGCAATGACAATCCGTTTCTTTATTATATGTTGATTGTATTTATGTGATAAGAATTTCTGTTCATAATGATTTTTATAAATTTATTTTGCATTTTATCAATAAAAATTGTGAGAACTTGGTATATTATTGCTCATTTCAGAACGTAACACATTTTTTTATCTGAGCCAAGCGGCACACACAGTTTAAAAATCAAAGTAAAGCTTTTTATTATATATTTGAACTATACACGATACTGTAAAGGATCGGTTAGCTATGCAAAATGAAGCGGGGATTTTATTGATTTACAGCAGCGCAGTATCGCATTTTTTATGTTGACGTCATTACATGTGATATCCCGATATCCCGCGGGATATCCATTGGATGTCATATGACAAGACCATAGGTTGACCAGATTGTTGCCGCAGGCAACTTTGATGGCGTTAGTATCCCGCCAAAAAAATGACAATTGTACTGTTCTGCTTCGCACGTATAATAAAATAAATATCGTTGTAAACGCAGATATTTGTCAAGTTCTGGGTGCTGCGCACTCCTCTCGAAGAGGTGAATAAGGCAGTTGCATTTTTGGTTTTTTATCCGACGGAGAAGGATTAACACCAGTAAATAGGTTTTCTGCTGGCCTGTGTATAAAAAATTTTCCTCTCAATAAAATGGTAGAAACACTTATTCGAGGGAAAAGACTGATTTTCTAAATACATTTCTTAAGAATTTGCTGAGCCACACGCATGTACTCCTGTGTCACAAAATAAATGCGTCATACGACAGGATTTGTGTGACGGCTGAATTTCTCACATATAGTACCATTCGGTATTTTTTCGCAAATGAAATTCTTGACCTCACGCACCGCACTTTGCACCAATAGCATTTCGCAAAAAACAGTATAAAACCGAAAATCTCAGTCACGTTACTCTGTCTCGTCAAAGGAAATACACTCGCGAACGCTTTCCCTGTTTATAGAGATAGTAACCAGCTTCGTTGGGGCCTCAAGGTATAAAAGTGAAAAAACATAAAACATTTCATGGCGTAGAGGCTGACGAAATAAGGTGGAAATTCATGACGATCGCAACGATCTCTTGAGCAATCTCACATTACAAGACCAACCCGAACTACTTGCGACAAGAGAAGTTTGAGACCACTGGACCGGAAACCACCTAAGAGGCATATTCACGTCCTAGTCGAACCACCCGTGTCAACTTCCGCTTCGAACGAGGTATTGAAATTAGCTTTGTTGCAGGCATTACTAAACAAGTCTGTCCATGGTACGTATAAAGTTTTGCCAAGAAATTTGAGTGACCATTTTTTGCTGAAATCTTCAGGTTGTGAGAAGTATTAATAACCCGGTTGTTGCGTTCGGTTGTAGACCGTGAATATCGAACACGCAACTCTCGAAGGACTAAAAAAAATCCAGCACTCGACAATGATGGAGCGGAGCTTAATATGTTAAATGACAGTGGAAAATCGTTCCGTCGTATACAAAGATGAGAATTTGCGAGCTAAGGTGGAAAAGGTCCTCGGTCATATTGTATGGTTACTGAGGAGGCGCAGAAGCCGGATTCATATTCTCGAAGTGAAGAGAGGGAAATAAAAAAGCATAGGACATCGGGCAATCTTAAGGAAAATCAGATACTGTAGATAGGCCGTAGGTCTTAGATTAGAAATTTCGTGTATCACGGGCAAAGTCCCGAGCCTTTGTATTTATTTTTATCTGTAATAAAAAACATTTCTTGGCAAAATTCTTCAAATATCTATTTTTAGTCCACGTAAATCAAACTAAAGGGCCATTATTCCCCGAAATCATTCAGCAAATGATGTGAAACCTTGACCGCCAATCTTTACCTGACTGGTCTTTTGTGTGTGGGAAAAGAGGGATAAGCTTTAAAATATATATACGACAAAAGTGGATCTAGACACTGAAGTGATATCCGTCGCTAAAATGACAGAAAATTACATTTGTTGCTTTATTCAAGGAGCGAATAGCAAATTTCTTGTTAACGTTGAAGCAATTGAAACGATTGAAGATCTTAGGGATTTAATTGTATGTCAGCAAAGAAAGTTTTTTCGTAACTTAAATATTGACGAGTACGGGATTTTTAAAATATCTGTTTCATTTGACGATAATGCGAAATATGAGAAGCTAAAAACAAGTCCGATTATGATAGAGCGTGAGAAATTGGAGGATTCTCAAAAAATTTCTGAAACCTTTAAAATAAATAAAATGCAGATTCAAGTTTTCATGGGAATTCTTGTAGATACGAGTATGAAAAAGATAGTGAAAGAAGCGTCAGTATCTACTCAGATCCGTGAATTAACTGAAACTGTGCAGGTGTCGATTGTACAGAATCGGGATATGATAGAACAGTTACTAGTAGAACAGAATCGGGTATTATTAGAACGTATTGGTATGTATGATGAATCGGAACAATAATCATTTGTATTTGTATAGTAGGTAAACTATTAAACGGTATGCTTGTAAACACATTTTAGATGCCAAAAAAACTAAGTTCGTTACAAAGGGAAAAGAGCTAAATGAGTTGTGTAAGACCAGAGTATTAAGAGTTGGTGATGTGTTTCGTTTTGAAAAAAAATTCGAAACGCTAGCAGGGATAAAGATAAATCAAGACTTCAAGGTTTGTGGGTTGCTTTTTGTAAAATCATTAGCTGATATATTTTAAAATTATATTTGTTTATGTTTCAGATCGTCGCTATTAATAATAATACCTATGCCCCCACAGTACAAATAAAAGATAAAACAGTGCCGGTTGATGGTGTGGTCATGCTTGAAAGACAAATTATAAACAATAATGTCAAGGAAGAGATTAAAAGACAGATTGTACAGGACAAAGAAAATTTTTTAAAGAAACTCCAAGATTACAATCACAAACGTGGCGGAGGTAGAGAGGAAAAAATCAGAACGGCTATCAACGAGAATCTAGAGATTAAAGATTTGATAACAAGAATTTTCGAAGTGCAAATTACTAACATACACTCTGAAAGTAATATTTTTTTTGATATTCATAATAGCGAAATGAAGATGATTGACTACATTGAAACATACTTTAAAAAATGGAAATAACATGTCTAAATTGTGTGACAGATTGATGACGCACGTTCTTAATGATGGCGTCTAAATAGTAACAGTAAAAGCATAGTGATAGAGTTATGTCCGGCGGGCAAAGTCTCGAATCATTGTAATTTATTTTTTCTGTATTAATAAAACTTATTTTATGATTATCATACACTGAAAAACACGCACACGATAAAAAATTCAAAGTAAGCTTTTTTATTGTATTTTTAAATAGTACATGATAAAGTCCTTTACTATGTAAAAAGTATTTGAGTAGCGGATGTTTCAAGGGAGGAATTTACCGTCCCCTAATGACCTGGCTTGTCATGAAAGATTAATATCAAAATCGTGAAAAGGCAGGGTTCGCGATGTGAGGAATTTTGGGCGGAGTTTTTTGAAAAATACTAAGCTTCATATGTATTACAAAACTTTTTTTTTCCTTTTTTTTTAAAAAAAGAACATTATATTAACTGAACGTTTCTGTTTCTATCTCAATTTTATAGGGGATCCTCCCATAAAGAGTTTTCATTGTTAAAAAGAGTGAGTGATATTTTATTATCATTGACTAACTAGAACAACACTTGCCTAGACAACGTATATGAGAAATAGTATCCGTTTAATGTCATTTTACTAAAACTTGTAAAACTTGAAACTAAATAAAGTAATTAAATATTATTTATTCACATTTTCGAATATGCAATTTTACGATTTATAAATTCAATAATATATTTTTACAACTTTAACAATACATTCTAACGATTTTGATAATTTTTGTACGATCCAGTTAAATCAGGTGACGATATCCTACACTTGGATTGTAAAATTTGTATCGAAAAAAAAAAATTAAAAAATTTTGGTTTATAAATTTTTCTGTTAGAGTATTTTGATGTCAGCTCATATATTCTAGTTCGGTTTTTATAAACCATGTAAATTTATTTTAAAATATCTTTTTTCGGTTCTTTATAGCCTTTTTCTTATAGACTGAAATTTTTTCTGAAATTTTTCTTTTTTTTTTTTTTTTGAAAAAGGCTTTTTTCTATTTTTTTTTATTATTAATTTTTTATTGTATTTTATTAACATTTTTTATCTCTATCCTCTAACATATGTTATCGTTCAGCCCAATAGGATCATGCAGATTTTCATAGACCGATATTTTTATGACATAGCAATAACACATGATTGATATAATAAAGTGGAGTAAAAAAATATGACGTAAATGAATATTTTATAGGAAAAGTTTAATAAAGTGGTTTAAAAATAGCATAAAAAATGAAATTTATAGAAAGTTAAATAATACATTTTTTTTTGATACAATGAACTGCTTTTTATTAATCATATGATAAAGAACTTACAATCGTACAAAAACAATCCTAAAGTTTGGTATAAGGCCGAAGCCAGGTACCTCCTCCCATACCAAATAACACTTATTTATGGTGTTATTAATTACTGCGTGATCAAAAACGTCAGAACACTTTTATGGGTACTATATCGGTCACAGGACCGATATAGCTACTCTCCATCCAATGGCTAAAAATTTTTAATTACATAAAATAAAATATTTGTTATATTGATTATAAATCACTAATGCTGTAGCATAATAACATGAGAGAATCGTTAAAAAATAAGAACCTTTGTGGTATAAGAAAATTAAAGATATAATTGCGATAGGTGATAATACAAGGGAATTTTAAAAGATAATATAAAGTAAAACTACAAGAAGATATATAATATAATCAATATGTATGATAAGAAAGTTGAAGATGATATAAAGAATTGATAACTTGGGAATTATAATAATAAAGTAATTTATAACATGTAAGAAAAAATCGCAAAGTAAAAACCATCACAATATTACAGTAGAAGATAATGAAAGAGAAAAATTCAAATAATGAGATATACGGAAATACGATAATTGTGTAAGAAATTATAAGAGATCGATAATTAAGGAGTTTTATATGAAAATTGATGTAATTGGTTATTTGATAAATAGGGATGGAGAAAAATTATCAAAATTAAAAAATTAATTATGAAACAAATAGAGATGGAGAAATAGTAATAATAATTTCCTATATAGTTATTAGTATGTTCACAATCTAGTGAGTTTCAAAATATAATATTAAGAAAGCCAGCATCAATTAGAAATACGAATATTGGAATTTAATACATTGTAATTTTTACGAATGTGTATCTTACATCTAAGTTGTGAAAAATGCTGAAATCCAATGTCATTTGAATAAGGACGATGTAGACGATTAAAGAGGTTGATTATAGGGAAAGTTGTGCGGTTATCAAAGGTATTTTTAAACACAAGAGCAATGATGGATATTATTATCATTTATTTATGTCGATTGGTTTGAAGATATCTATAAGGAAACAACAAATTGGATTGTTCAATCTTTGTCCTTCATCACGATGATTATTATCGCAAGATATTTCCATTGACGGTCATAGATAAAGTTCGGAAGGCGTATTTTGTAAACGATTGTAATGCTAGATGCAAGGAATCTGATCATTTTCTGGAAAATAATCATTATTTAAAAAATGAATTTTTTTTTACAGCTGTTTAAATAATACAGGTATTAGTATAATAATAAAATAATGAGATTATAATTTTGGTTTATTTCGTTTCTTTCATTTCAAATCATGCTAATATCCTTTCGAAATGTAGACGAAAAGTTTTTTTTTTTTTTGTTTATTTTGTACCCTTGATCGAATTAACACTAATAGAATATACATTTGCAATGCGAAGAATACATGAATTTACTTTACATTTAACGTATATTTACTACAACTTTATTACACAGCACCTTTGTATTATTTATATGTTTAAATTATTTAAATTAGCAATATATTTACTTTTACATTTCCTATATAGTTGCTTCACAACTACTATATCACTTCTATACATTTGTCTATATTAAATATATATTATCGCATTGAAAATAACATAAAGTAGCCGTAACGCCTGGTGGCAATATGGATACTACAAAGCCCCGATTTCATGGGTTTCAGCAAAGTTATTATGGATATTAAACCTATATATATATGAAAATAAATTCTAATGGAACCAATTAAATTCTAAATTTACCCTTTTGAAATTAATTAAGTGATTAATAACCCATCAAACGCATGATAACAAAAATTTCAACAAAGTAAATAGAACATTTGGTACTAAATTTTTATACGCGTCGACTACTGTTAACGTCCTATATCCTGTTATTTTATAATTGTTACCATTTAAAGTAATTTAATTTTCACCAAATAGAAATACCTTTTAAATAAAATTTCAGGTATTTCCCATATGTATTGAAAAATGTTCAATTTTAGCTTCCTTTCCTATTTCTTTTTATCATTCTTACACACAATATCATTTTCAGTGTCTAATTAACAGTATTTGGTATAATATTCCCACATTATATCAATATCCTTCGTAAAAAAAAAGAATATAATCCACATTGTCTCATTGTCGATTACCCTCAAATGATAGATATGAAAATGATCCTAACTAGTTTAACGATCTAATTATACAAAGTTATTAAAATTATAATTTATAAAAATTATATTGTACTGTATTTTACTAGTATGTGATAAGAAATAATGCTAATAAATTCAACTATGACATAGTATTGACCAGGGCATTCTTCAAATAGTTGTATTACTTAACATAAATTAAGCAAAAGGGTAGTTAATGAAATTTGCTGATTTTAGATTTTGTGGATAAGGTATGGTATTGTAGAGGACGACTTTATCTAATGATATTATTAATTTTGGAGCGCAGTATAATATTTAATTTAAATTATTAAGTGTTTTAAATTTACTGCGATCCGGAATGACGTTAAACTACCATTGTTACCATCGTTACTATCCTTGGATTATACTAATTTTCGCCTGATTGATCATTATCTGGAATTTTTTGATTTGTAATCATTTGTAATCATCCGGAAATAAATATCTGAATTCTACGACAAAAAAATTTTGTACTTTGACGTAAAGAAAATGATTTAATCAATGGAATACGTCTTTTAAATTTACATATTAAATTTCGAAATTTATAACGATAAAATAAAAAGTATTATTAAAACATTGAAACTTACAGTATAAAGTAAAAAGTCATTAGAATTTTGAAATTTATAAAGTTTAAAAGTTTATTAGAGTTTCAAAATTTATAAAGTAAAAAAGTTTATGAATTTATTTAATAAGTAAAAAGTCTCCTACTTGCACTTCCAAGCAAGTTATTGCTATCATATCCAAAAGTAGTATGAAGAACTGAATACTAAGTTTGCGGCAATATTCTTTACTTCGATCCTTTAAAAAAGAATTCATACTTCTGCCTTAATTTATGTATAATCTGCTAATTGGTCATTAAAATTTAAAACCTTTAGTGTAATTCTCACTAATTATAAAAATAAAAATTTGCTTTTTATATTACTAGTGAAGAAGAGCAAAAAAAAAAAATAGAAAAAAAGTTTTCGAAAAAAATAGCAATATTAATACTGTATATACTAATAATACGTGCAATAATAATTGTAATATTAGTAACACTAAAACTGGTTTAATAACTTTCTTATGTGCTTATTAAATGCGATATCTTGGACCTAAAAAAATGCTAAAATAATATATTGAACATGAATAATAAGCATAATTAATCATTAACTATATAAAATTTAAATTTTACATCTTATTTAATATAAATCGATTTGTAAAGATTCTATTTAATAAAGTAAAGTTTATTAGTTAAACATTAATAACTAACTTGCATTTTAAATAATAAAATTACTAATTAATACCCGAAAATTCCTTGCTTATTATATTATCGTTTTGTTCATAATAGTCATTCGAATTTTTTTGTTCAGGGAGATTATTAAAATTGAGCAATCTACTTGTATAACTAGCTCCTGAATGTGTTTTAAACGATAAACTAGTTAAAGGTATGTTATTTGGTGAATTTTTGTTTATTTCATCTGCTTCTTTAATTTGTGATTCTAATTTTATATTTGATACATTTTGCCACTTGTGTAAAATATCTATAATTCCTTCTGCCGTTGTTCTTTTTAGTTGATTTGCATCTAAGCACCTTTTGATTAATTGAACAATTATTTGGGGTACTTTAAATTTAAATCTTGGCCTAAGTCCTTGACAAATTTTTATTGCTAAAGTTTCATCATGATTAATATCATGATATGGACGTAATCCAGAAATTACTTCATACATAATTATACCATAACTATAAATATCAGCAGCTTTAGTATAATTTTGTCCTCTTAAAATTTCAGGAGCTATATAATATAGAACACCATATATGTTTTTTTTTGCATTTTCTAATACATTATAATTTGCAGGTTTACAAAATCCCATGTCAGTTATAGCAGTTTTATATTTAAACTTTAATATATTTCCAATCATATGCAAATCTCGATGAATTAATTCCTTTTCATGAATACATTTAAGTCCAACTATAATGTCTTGTAAATAGTCAATCTTTGCATCCCAATCAAGCTTGCTATATTCTTTATCTAAAAAATTTCGTAAACTTCCATCTTTTGCATAACCTAAAACCATTATATAATTTTTCGTATTTGGATCCTGAGTTATTCCATAAAATCCAACAATCGCGTTATTATTCTTTTCTACTTTATTATGTAACATACTCTGTATGAATGTGAAAATACAAATATTTACTAATTAATAATTTAAGTATTATGATCATAAATATTATAAATAACAAATTAACTAATAAAATAATACCTCATTAATAAATTCTAAAGTAATATTTTCTGAATTATCCAAACTTTTTAGAGCTACCAACATATCTTCATTATTTCTATTATATTTTTTATATCTTTTCCAATATTGATTTTCACTGTCCCAAACAGTTATATTTCCATCAATCCAATTTGCTCTATACACTTTGCCAAACCCACCTTTTGCAATAAATTTAATATTATAAAACCTATCATAAGGTATCCATTCTAATGCTGTTTTTGCATCATCATGGGCTGATAGTTGAGTATCTTGAATAAATTTATCAATATCATTATTACCACTAGTCCAATTTTCAAAATTTCGTTGAAAATGTATTGAATTACACAATTTATTACATTTTTCACATATATCATTAAAAACTATCATATAATTTTTTGTTTTTGGATCCTGAGTTATTCCATAAGGTCTATTGATCTACAAATACAAATACATTAGTAGAAATTAAAAAACTTCAGATTATATTGAGTAATAAATTTATCAAACCTCATTTTCAATTTCAATTGTAATATTTTTTGGAGTATTTAAACTCTTCAAAATCACAAACATATTATGACTTTTTCTTTTCCAATTTTGAGTTTCATTATTCCAATAACTTATATTTCCATCAATCCAATCTGCTCTATACATTTTGCAAAACTCATCTTTTTCAATATATTTAATATTATAAAATTTATTATAAGGTATCCATTCTAGTATTTTCTCTGCATTATCATGAGATGATAACTGAGTATCTTGAATAAATTTATCAATATCATCATTACCACTAGTCCATTCTATAAATTTATGTTGAAAGTAGATTGCATTACACATTGTATTACACACTTTACATTTATAATTCAAAACCACCATGTAATTTTTTGTTTCTGGATCCTGAGTTATTCCATAAGGTTTATTGATCTACAAATGCAAATACAATAGTATATTAGTAGAATTAATATAAACTTAAAATTATATTGAGTAATAAATTATCATGCCTCATTTTCAATTTCATTTATAATATGTTTTGGAGTATCTAAGCTCTTCAAAATCACAAACATATTATAATTTTCTCTTTTCCAATTTTGATTTTCATCATTCCAATAACTTATATTTCCATCAATCCAATTTGCTCTATAGGACTCATCTTTTGCAATATATTTAATATCATAAAATCTATTATAAGGTATCCATTCTAATGCATATTTTACACTATAATAAGTATGTCCTGATAGCTGAGAATTCTGAATAAGTTTATCAATATTATAATTACCACTAGTCCAAGTTTTGAAATTTTGCTGAAAATGTATTGCATAACATATATGATTACATTTGTCACATATATTATCTAAAACAATCATATAATTTTTTGTTTTTGGATTCTGAGTTATTCCATGAATTTTATATTCTATGTTAATCTATAAATGTAACAATATTTTAGTAAAAATAAATTATTTAAGATTTTATTGAATAATAAGTTTATCATACCTTATTTGTCAATTCTAATACAATATTATTCGGAGTATTTAAATTCTTCAAATTCACAAACATATTATGATCTTTCCTTTTCCAGTTTTGATTTTCATTATCCCAATAAAATATATTTCCATCAATCCAATTTGCTCTATACACTTCACCAAATTCATATTTTGCTATATATTCAATGTTATGAAATCTATCATAAGGTATCCATTCTAATACTTTCTTTACATTATCATGAGATGATAACTGAGTATCTTGAATAAATTTATCAATATCATCATTACCACTAGTCCAATTTTTGAAATTTCGTTGAAAAAGTATCGCATAACAAGTAAAATTACATTTTTCACATTTCTTAATATCATGCGATGACTTAGTTAGTGTCTCAATATCTTCAGTATAAGTACTGTCTCTTATACACATCTACTAGTCCAACTTTCAAAATTACGTTGAAAATGTATTGAATTACAAACTTTACTACATTTTTCACATATTTCATTAAAAACTATCATATAATTATTTGTTTCTGGATCCTGAGTTATTCCATAAGGTCCATTTATCTATAAATACACAGCATATTAGTAGAAATTAAAACTTCCATGCAAATTATATAGAATAATAAATTTATCATACAGTACCTCATTTTCAATTTCAATTGTAATATTTTTTAGTGTACCCAAACTCTTCAAAATCACAAACATATTATAATCTACTCTTTTCCAATTTTTATTTTTTTAATTTGCTCTATATACTTTATCAAACCCACCTTGTGTAATACATTTAATATTATAAAACCTATCATAAGGTATCCATTCTAATGCTGTTTTCGCATTATCATGGGTTGATAGTTGAGTATCTTGAATAAATTTATCAATTTCATTATTACCACTAGTCCAATTTTTAAAATTTCGTTGAAAATGTATTGAACTACACAATTTATTGCATTTTTCACATATATCATTAAAAACTATCATATAATTTTTTGTTTTTGGATCCTGAGTTATCCCATAAGGTCTATTGATCTATAAATACATTAGTAGAAATAAAAACTTCAAATTGTAATGAGTAATAAATTTATCATACCTCATTTTCAATTTCATTTGTAATATTTTTTGTATTACTTAATAAACTTTTCAAAGTCACAAACATATAATGACTTTTTCTTTTCCAATTTTGATTTTCATTATCCCAATGACTTATATTTCCATCAACCCAATTTGCTCTATAGGACTCATCTTTTGTAATATATTTAATATCATAAAATCTATGATAAGGTATCCATTCTAATACTTTCTCTACATTATCATGAGATGATAGTTGAGTATTTTGTATAAATTTATCAATATCATTATTACCACTAGTCCATTCTATAAATTTATGTTGAAAGTAGATTGCATTACATATTGTATTACACACTTTACATTTGTAATTCAAAACCATTATATAATTTTTTGTATTAGGATGCTGAGTTATTCCATAAACTCTATTGATCTACAGATACAAATAAATTAGTAGAAATTAAAAACTTCAAATCTTATTGAATAATAAATTTACCATACCTCATTTTCAATTTCAATTATAATATTTTTTGAAGTCTTCAGAGTCACAAACATATTATAACCCTTTCTTTTCCAATTTTGATTTTCATTATCCCAATTATTTATATTTCCATCAATCCATTTTGCTCTATATACTTTGCTAAACTTATCTTTTGCAACATGCATCTTATCATAAAATCTATCATAGGGGATCAATTCTATTGCTTTCTCTACATCATCATGAGATGATAACTGAGTATCTTGAATAAATTTATCAATATCATCATTACCACTAGTCCATTCTATAAATTTATGTTGAAAGTAGATTGCATTACACATTGTATTACACACTTTACATTTATAATTCAAAACCACCATGTAATTTTTTGTTTCTGGATCCTGAGTTATTCCATAAGGTTTATTGATCTACAAATGCAAATACAATAGTATATTAGTAGAATTAATATAAACTTAAAATTATATTGAGTAATAAATTATCATGCCTCATTTTCAATTTCATTTATAATATGTTTTGGAGTATCTAAGCTCTTCAAAATCACAAACATATTATAATTTTCTCTTTTCCAATTTTGATTTTCATCATTCCAATAACTTATATTTCCATCAATCCAATTTGCTCTATAGGACTCATCTTTTGCAATATATTTAATATCATAAAATCTATTATAAGGTATCCATTCTAATGCATATTTTACACTATAATAAGTATGTCCTGATAGCTGAGAATTCTGAATAAGTTTATCAATATTATAATTACCACTAGTCCAAGTTTTGAAATTTTGCTGAAAATGTATTGCATAACATATATGATTACATTTGTCACATATATTATCTAAAACAATCATATAATTTTTTGTTTTTGGATTCTGAGTTATTCCATGAATTTTATATTCTATGTTAATCTATAAATGTAACAATATTTTAGTAAAAATAAATTATTTAAGATTTTATTGAATAATAAGTTTATCATACCTTATTTGTCAATTCTAATACAATATTATTCGGAGTATTTAAATTCTTCAAATTCACAAACATATTATGATCTTTCCTTTTCCAGTTTTGATTTTCATTATCCCAATAAAATATATTTCCATCAATCCAATTTGCTCTATACACTTCACCAAATTCATATTTTGCTATATATTCAATGTTATGAAATCTATCATAAGGTATCCATTCTAATACTTTCTTTACATTATCATGAGATGATAACTGAGTATCTTGAATAAATTTATCAATATCATCATTACCACTAGTCCAATTTTTGAAATTTCGTTGAAAAAGTATCGCATAACAAGTAAAATTACATTTTTCACATTTCTTAATATCATGCGATGACTTAGTTAGTGTCTCAATATCTTCAGTATAAGTATTCATTGACTTTTTTTTAAATTACAATGAATTCAGGTTAATAGGATATTCTAAGAAATATAAAAAAAGCAAGTGAATAAAATTTTTGAAATTTTAATAAATATATAGATGTACATTATTATATGTATTATGCAATGCATTATGCAATAAAATTTTCTTTTTACGGAGTTTTTTGATGTCAATCAAAATCCATACTTAACAGATATAGGAGGAATAAGAATCTCATTGATTGGCTGTTGATCACATATGAGCTACATTGACGATCCAATAAAATTAAATTCACATGACACAAGTATCGGTCTATAAGAAAAACTCTCCTAAGATCTGCAGTAAATTTTTATTTTATTAAATAAAATTTTTTTTTTTTTTTGAAAAAGCAAAATATGAGTTATATTTATATTAAGAATATTATCATAATTAGTTAAGTTGTATAAGATATTAAGCAAATAAATATAATATATATTGTAGCTTTCCATCTGTAATACAATCAATTATTAAAAAGTTATTTAAACAAAAATTTTAGTAATTATGTAAAATAAGTAAATAAAAAACTAAAGATTTAAATAACTGACAACTTACCAACTATATATAGTATTATTCAATTATAAGATAATATATTAACTTACGAGCTAAATTATTTAATGTGATTTTTGTATAATATAGAAAATTATATATGTTTATTATATAAGATACAATTATAGATGGTATTTAAATGCATTTACAATAAAAATTTAATATTTCAGCTTATTTAATATACCTTTAGATTCCTTGGTATTACTTTCTTCAAATTCCTCAATAGTTTCTTCAAATTCTCCAGAGCCGTCTCCTTTGATTTCTTCAATACTACTGGAAACTATATCGTAAATTTGTTTAAAATTTTAGAATTTTAATTATATTAATTATTTATACTATATATATAATTATTACCTTTATTATTATTGTGAGCCATTATTATATAATTATATTAAAATGCTTTCTGAGTGGAAAGATAATGTAGATATCTTTTTTTTATTATTATTAAATACTTTTATTAGTATGGATATATATGGTGACAATATTAAAACCCCTATATATGAAAATAAATTCTAATAGAACCAATTAAATTCTAAATTTCCTCTTTTAAATTAATTAAGTGATTAATAATCCACCAAACACATGGTAACAAAAATTTCCAAAAATGAAAATATTAAACTTTCTATTTTAAAGTTAGCATGGACCTCCACCATCAAATGGATCGTTATACCCCTAAAGATCTACATAATAAATCTCCTGATAGTTTAACGACTTTAACGTCATCTCAAACCACATTGGTCACATAAATAGTAGTTTGAGCCTTTGAGGCCTATCTTGGTCCATCAAGGATAGTGGCTATACTAATTTTCGCCCTCCCATTGGATCCGATGTGAAATTAGCTCAGATTCCATGTAATGACGGCAGAAGTCATGGGTCAGGATGATTACAAATGATTGCAAATCAAAAAATTCCAGATAATGATCAATCGGACCCGGTTCACCAGCCAGAATCAATGGAACTAGGGGCGAAAATTAGTATAACCCAAGGATAGTAGTGATTTCCAGACCGCAGTAAATTTAAAACACTTTTAAAATTTTTATAGACCTAAATTAAATATATATTGCGCCCCAAATTAACAATATCATTAGATAAAGTCGTTCCCCTACGGTTCCATATCCTATCCGCTTTACAAAATCTAAAATCGGCAAATTTTCATCAACTACCCTTTGCTTAATTTACTAATTGTTAAGTAAAACAACTATTTGAAAAATGCCCTGGCCAATATAGGTCATAGTCTAATTAGCATTATTTCCTATCACATACAAGTAAAATACAGTATAATATAATTATTTATAAATTATAATTTTAATAACTTTGTATAATTATATCGTTAAACGAGTTAGGATCAATTTCATATCTATCATTTTGAGGATATTCGACAATGGGATAATGTGAATAATATTCTTTTTTTACGAAGAATATTGAAATAATTTGGGAATATTATACCAAATAATGTTATTAATGAAAGACTAAAAATGATCTTGTGCGTAAGAATGATAAAAAGAAATAGGAAAGGAAGCTAAAATTGAACATTTTTTCAATACATATGGGAAATACCTGAAATTTCATTTAAAGCTGTTTGGTGAAAATTTATTCACTTTGAATGGTAACAATCACACTATCTCAATTTGTATATTCACAAACATCAATAAAATAATAGGATTCGGTTTCATATAATTTATATGCAATTCTATAGGACGTTAACAGTAGTCGATCGCGTGAAAAAATTGAATTTTTAATTTATTGTACATGGCTAAATACATTGTTAATAATAATAATAATCCTACTTGCATTTCCTATCATATATAAAGTATGAAGAGCAATTCTTACAACTCTATCAAAAAATTAAATCTTTACTGAGATTAAGTAAATATATTTATAGAACCCATAAATCTTTATTAACTTAAAAAGAAGTATATTTTAAGGAAAATGATTTATAAAATTACATTTATTTTCAAGATAATATTCATATTTATAATATACACTATATATTATGTACTACACTACTACTACATATTAAAATATATCAATATAACTTTTTTCTAAATCCACCAAGATCTCTTATTTTTATTACTCCAAATTAATTCTCTTGTTCTTTCTTCCCTTTCAACTTGTTCTAATCTTTTTTCAACTTTAGCCAATTTTTCTTCAAAACCTTTAGATTTAACAATTTTCTCAAAAAAATTTATTGATATTTGTGAATCAGGTTTAATATGATTTTCAGTATCAATTAAAATAACACCATCATGATCCAATTTTTTCAAATACCTTGGATTACCAGTTATATCCCTTCCCATACTTAATGTGACAGATTTTGTTGGTGATTTTATCAATTCTTTAATAAGTTTCCATGCTGCTAAAGCATATTTTTGTGATTCGTATTCTGGTCCATCAAAATTTGGTATGAGACCTATAGTATTAATTAACCAAGTTTCTTCTTCATCTTCAAGTTGATTTACAGCCTCTATTAAAAAAAAAATATATATTATTAGATAAATATATTTTTTTAAAATAAAATATTTGAAATTCGTAAAATATTATTACCGAAAATATCAACATCAGGTTCTTTAGTCAAACGACTAAGATGGGAGAGACGCCCACCAATACGATCTTTCACGATATGCATTAAAACTTCGTCTGATTCACGACCACGACGTTTGTCCTTTAAATACTTCATAGCATCATCAATTTCTAAATCATGAACTCTAATTGTTTCCATATGAGATGCATCCATTTCTGCAATATAAAAAAAAAATAAAAATTAATTTAAATACATATTGCATCATAAGTATATAACTTACTCATTCTCTCGTATACACTATAATCATCTGTATTGAAAATCATTGTAACAAAACCACTAGAAGCCCAAGCTTCAGCACGTTGTTGTAAAAGTTCTAACAAATCACATCCATCTTCATCATCTTTAAAATTATGAATATTATTAATTATAAGAACAAATGGTCGACCATGACGAAGTTTATGTTTATAAGCAACTTCTTCCACCATATTCAAAGCTTTTTCAACATCAAGTAACGCAGAACCTATTTAAAAAGATATTAAATATATATTCAATTCTCGAGAAAGAAAATACTTTTAATGACTTAAATACCTCTTTCAGGAGCCTCCCTTGCAAACAAACCACCGATGTAATCTTCTCTAAAAGTATAATTTAACGCTCTACCTAATCTTGTTTTAAAAATTTCAGTATCCGAATGAGCTTCACAAAATACGACACCATAATGATTTATGATATCCATAGCCCTTAATACTAATTGAGTTTTTCCAGTACCATTTTCGCCGACTAATAAATAATATTTTCCTTTTGTATCACCTGCTACCACACTAAAGATTTTTTGATATTCTTCTCTCGCAAAATAGACTTCTTTTATTTTTGATTTTAAAAGATAGGCAGGTTTTAAAAATGATTTTAATACTTTATGAACTTCGTGCCATTCATACCTTCAATAAGAAATAGTTAGAAATAAGTATTATAAGTTGAAGTAAATGAATCAATTGAGATTTTATACTCACCAAGTATGGTACACTACACCACCAAATCCAACAGCAGCTATACCCATAACTGTGGTTAATACAGCATCTCTTACACGAGGAGAAAATAAATCAGAAATATTAATCTTATATTTTTTACGTCCTGACTGATTTACTTGATGTAATGATGGTGGACTTTGACCACCTTGAGGACGAGATTTTTTATAATTCGCTTCATCAAGTGCAGTTTCTGCAGATTTATCAATTAAAGGATTTGTTGGTACTAAATAATAAGAAAATTAATTTTTTTTAGTAAATTCAGAATTTTTTTTTTAAAATAATTTAATTTTAAAATTAACCTGGATAAGGATCCCAAACACTAGAAGCATTCGTATTCTCATTATAAAATCTTTTCTGTTGTTGAATAAAATTAATTTTAAATGAACCATTAAACGAAATAAAATCATTTTTTTTAGGGGTAACGTTAATAATCAATGATGAATTCATTCTAAATTGCGTGTTTTTAATAATTTTATTTTGAAAATTATAACTAATAAGAATTGGTGAAAAATGATTATTAGCTTGATTTAAGATTAATTTATCAGCTAATTTTACGAATTTACGAAATTGATACATCATTAAATATTACGAATAAATTTTTTTTATCATTAAATCAAAAAAAGAAAAAGAAAAGAAGAGAAGATTTTTAGGAAATTTAATGAAAAAATGATGAAATTTAAATATTTATGATACATATTGTGAACTAAAAAGTTTTTAACTAATAAAGTTAAATAAAAGAAATTCCTAATAAGAAGAAGTAAGAAAAAAAAAAACCTTAAATTTCACTTTTTACGAAAGAGAAAAAAGAAAAATAATATTATCGTAATTTAATTTCTACGAATCGGAGTAATTCAATTAATGACGGCACCCGATCAATCACTTAATAAGGAAATTGATCAAGAAATTCCCGGAGTATTAATTTCCCATTTCTTTTTGGAATGTCTATATAAAGTAATATCATTTGAGAATGTGGCTATGGCGTTTTGTCAATCTCTTTTTTTTTTTTACTGCGTATAAGCTTAATATACTCAGTTGTTGGGCTGTGAATGCATAAATGAATTTTATGCATTACTAGTTTTATATAATAAATGAAAAAAATACGGTATGTAAATATCGGAAATGATAATTCCGTTAATAAAACTTAAACAAAAAAAGTTAGAATTCATAGTTAATTTAGTTAATTGTATTTTTCATACAATTTACACGAAATGCGATTAACTTAAAAAACATATACTTAATAATATTTCCGAATGAAGATATTTTTATTGTTTATGTAGATTAAGATTATCTGACATTAAAGTTATCCCCAAGTTTTTGGTCTAACAAAATGAATAATTTCCAAATCTCTTTACAACAAAAACCATTAAAATTACGTCTATCCAAAAAGGGTTTTTTTCGGTAAATTTCCTAATTTCCTTACAATTAATAATTCATGTTGATAAGTACAAAACAACTATTTCTATTTACAGCTTTCAATATAAAATTTAACTTTTTTTTAACGTAATCATACATAAGACAGCTTGAATAAAAACTTGTACACCACATCCTCCCATCAAATAAGCATTCGATAATAATCTTTAATTATTAACAAATACAGTAAATATTTTCTATAGGCCAAATCACAAAAGTCATCAAATAGAAATTATATGTTTGTAATGACATAATGGACGTAAATAGTCGATGCACTTTGTTGAATTCATTGAAGAGGATTCAATTTATAGAGATTAAATGCATTATATTCACAATTTAGTGATTTCTTGATATTAGTGATGTAGACAAAAGTATATATGTGGGTTTTATTTGATGTTGTTCCCAAGAAGATGTGATCGGTTGCATATCCAAACGTTAATTTTTAATTAATAAGTTTTTTTCGGTTTTTTTAGACCGAAATTTTTTTTTTTTTTTTGATATTTTTTTCCGGTTTTTTAAATTTTTCGGTTTTTTTTAAACCGAATTTTTTTTGCTTTTTTCGGTTCTTTTTCCTTTTTAATCTATACTAATTTATTTTATGTATTTAGTATGTATAAATATATCCTTGCTATTTATTTGGCTTGGATCAGGATCGGTGATTGGTGCTGTGGTAAGATTGATAATATTTATTTTTTTTTTTATTTTTTTTTCGTTCTTTTACCTTTTTAGGTTTGGTCATATAATCGAAATAAATAATATAATACTGTATAAATAATTTCATTTTAAATTTATATTCATTTCTCTTAATTTCAAATATATATTAGGCGGATTTTATTTTACTCTATTAAATTTTAGCAAGTGCTTTTTCCAGTACACGCTTTTTATTTTAACTATAATATTTCAAAATAATTATGTCATGTAAATAAATCTCCAGAATAATTTGACTATAAAGAATTCATAAATCGTAGTTTTGTTTGTATCCCGAATTATTAATTAATCGACCACTAATTCTTAACTACGTCTAACTCCAGAGATTAAATCTCCCGTAAATAAGCATCTTTGGTCACTAACCTAAATTATGCCGACCATTATAATAACTTTGGTCGGCATTATATAAAAAATGTGTGCTTAATTTCGGAAGAATATGGTGAATCACTCTTTTCTGAAATTGGGTGTACCGAATATTTCCGATTTTACTGTATTTGTTAAATTATCCCCCCAAATTTTCAGCCAAGAACTAATTATTAGTTTGGAATGGCCTTTAGTGAAATAATGGTGTAGTTAGCCGAAAAATTCAGCCGAAGGCGCAGTAAATTTTCGGCTAACAACACCCAGCCGAAAAAATTCATGTTGATCTCGAATATTTTATTGGTTCAACATCTACTATTTTCGGCTGAATATTATCGGCTAAATACTCTTTTTTTTAAATAATAGTGTAGTTAGCCGAAATATCCAAATAGCATGTAACCTCCTAATTCACTTTATTATGGTCAATAGCACCCTCTTCCAATATATAATATATTTGTAAAGTTTAAAATCAGTCTAAACTTGTTTAATTGGCTAAATTAATGATTTTCGAATCCATAATTCTGGCCGAAATTTTCTTAATTCTGGCTTAAAATTAGTTAAAGTTGAAAATTTCAGGTAAAATGTAACATCGTATTTATACAAAATAATCTTCAAACTAAATATAAAATATATAACTTCTTGTCAGTCTCTAAGTGTTTATTGAAATATTTTTTCAAATTTGCTTTTTGTTTTTTGAGTTGGATCTTAGCTAAAAATTAGTATATTAAAAATAAAAAATAATGCAAAAAACTTGAAATTTGTCAATGATAATGAATAATATAAGACTTTAAATTAAAAACAAAAAAAAAAAAAAATACTGTATATATATTTTCAAATACAATTCAAATCCCTTAAAAAAATTTCCCTTTTTTATTTTATTTGTATAATTGTATTGTAAAATTTTAATTATTCTTATAGTTTTAATGGTTAAATAAACTATTCATTAATTTAAAGAAAAAAAATTTTCTTTTTTACAATTAAATTATTAAAAATCTAATATTGAAGTATGATTGGACAGAAATAAATGAGTTAAAAATAACAAATATTTTGTAGTTTTATTTAATAAGCACTGTCCAAAAATAAGTATAGTAATGTTATGTACTTTTTGTTTTCTATAATAAATAAAATTTTGTCATTATTACATATTGTCTGCTATTTGGATATTTTGGCTAACTACACTATTATTTAAAAAAAGTGTATTTAGCCGATAATATTCAGCCGAAAATAGTTAGATGTTGAACCAATATTCAAGATCAACATTGGCTGTTGTTAGCCGAAAATTTACTGCGCCTTCGGCTGAATTTTTCGGCTAACTACACCATTATTTAAGTGATAGTAAATCGATTCTTTTTTTTTTTTCGTAAATAAATTTTCTCAGTACTCACCCAAATTATCAATATTTATCCGAAATTCAATTTTTTTTTTTTCTTCGAATAAATTTTTTTTTTCACAAACTCCGCACATACAAAATTTTTGTGTGTGCCCAAATTATCTAAAATAATAGAAATTCATTTTTTTTTTTTGGTGAACAATTCTTTTTTTTTGAATAAATTTTTTTTTTCTCTTTCTTTTGGTGAATAATTTTTTTTCTCTCTTTTTTTGGTGAATGATTTTTTTTCTCTTTTTTTTTTTGATGAGTGATTTTTTTTCTCTCTTTTTTTGGTGAATAATTTTTTTTTTCATTCTCCTTAATAACTTCACCAAATTATCTAAAATTTTTTTTGCACTCTTCATGGCTGCTATTCGTAAAAAATTGATTTATGCGATAATTCAAGAAGCTTTTAGTGAAGCAAATAAGAATCCTAATCTTAATTTCGACTTAACCAATCAACAGAAATTATTAGATGAAATAATTTTTGCTAATAAATCTCTTACAAAAAATGAAAAAGCAGAAACAGTAAGAATAATAACTGAGAGTTACGATTATTTTAGAATTATTAAAAACGAAGGAGAAAGAAGAATTTGCGAAAATTGTCAATATGAGTGTTTAGCCACATTTTATTGTGAAATATGTATTCGAAATTATTTAAAAGCATATTTTTCAAACTGGACGTCCGGAAATGATGATATAGATAATTTAATACAGAATTTTCAAATGGAAACATTTGCTCCAACTAGGATAATTGAATGGATACCATATAATAATTTTCGAAATATTAAGTATTTAACTGAAGACACATCCGAGATTTATACGGCAAAATGGACTGATGGACCTTATGATAAATGGGATTCTAAAAAACAACAATTAAAAAGGTTTGGTATGCTTAGAGTGATACTTAAAAAGTTAGAAAATGATGAAGATGCAAATATAAGTTGGCTTGAGAAGGCAAAGTATATTATTCTTTTAAAGTATTATCAATTATTTAACCTTTATGTAAATTAACATTTTTTTGACAAATATTTACAGGCCAAATCACATTTAGTAATAAGTAATAAATTTTCAGGCGTTGTTAAATGTTTTGGTTTAACTATTAATCCAGAGGGGTATTATATGCTTGTATTACAGCAAATGGACATTAACTTAAAGGAATATATACAACAAAATCATAATAAAATTACATGGAAAGAAAGAATTGACATAATTTGTGATATAATAAAATCACTTTACGAAATTCATAAAGAGAAAGCAATTCATAGAAACTTACATTCCAGGCATATATTATATTTACAAAGTGCGAATTTATGGTGCATTTCTGGTCTTGGATTTTGTGGGCCTGCTGATAAATCACCGGAATATATATATGGAAATCTTCCTTATATGGCACCTGAACTTATTAATGGAAAAGCTTATAATTTTGCATCTGATATATATAGTATTGGTATGCTTATGTGGGAAATTTCTTCCGGAAAACCACCATTTGAAGATTATGATCATGATTATGGTCTTGCAATGAAAATTACCAATGGAATCAGACCAAAAATGATACCAGAAATTCCCTTAGAATATAAACAGTTAATAGAACAATGTTGGTGTGCTGACCCATCAAAGAGACCTGATATAGATTATCTTCATAATAAAATATTTGAAATAAGAAATTTATATTGTCAAAATGGTTATGATGAACTAACATTTTACAAGTATAATATTAATTTATATCAGTTTTTTCAGTCAAACAAAAGCATAAAGCTTAAAATAAAGATAAATGATTATATTTTGGATTTGGACAATCATTCCCGGGAAAATGGAAATGAAAAGATTGATGATTTTATTCGAGAAATACAATCGGATATTGATGATTTTAATGATATAGTATTTGAATGGATACCATACAATCAATTTGATGAAATTAAAGAAATGGGTAAAAATGGTTCTATTACAATATATTCAGCAATATGGAAAGATGGTCCATTAGAATATGATGCAGATAAAAAAATATATACTAATGGGGATCCGAATAGAGTAATTGCTTTGAAATGTTTACATGATTCCCAAAACATTACTGATAAATTTTTAAATGAGGTATGAAATTTCTTTTTTATAATAGAATCATTTTTTATGAATTTAATTTATAAATTAAATTTAAGCAGATGTAATAATTATTGATTGCTATTAATTTATTTTAATAGGTTAAAGAATACTCAATAAATAAAAGAAGTAATATTCTTAATGTGTATGGAATATCTCAAAATCCACATACAAAAGACTATATTATGGTTCTTGATTATGCAAAAGATGGAAATTTTATTAAATGGACAAATGAAAATTATGAATATTTTAATTGGCAAGATAAATTATCTGCATTGCTTAATATTATTAATGGCCTTAAAGAAATTCATCAAAAAAATATAGTTCATCGTAATTTTCATACAGGGAATATATTATTTTTAAATAGCAAAGATGATTTTAGTAATTGTATATCAATTTCAGATATGGGATTATGTGGAGAAGTTGGTAATATAGATGAAACAAAAATTTTAGGAGTAATACCTTATGTGGCTCCTGAAGTATTAAGAGGAAAGTCTTATACTAAAGCAGCAGATATCTATAGTTTTGGTATGATTATGTATTTTGTAGCAACTGGAAGACAACCTTTTTACAATCGTGCACATGATAACTTATTAGCATTAGATATTTGTAATGGAAATAGTCCTGAAATAAATGAACCAGAAGCACCAAGATGTTATATTGATTTAATGAAAAAGTGTTGGGATTTAAACCCAAAGAATAGACCACACATTAATGAAGTGGATGAAGTGATTACATCATTGCATAAATCATCTGGAGTGGATATTTTTATTGTAAAAAATGAAGAAATTGAAATGCAATTTAAGGAAGCAGAAGAATATAGAAAGGCAAATCTTTCATCCATTAAAAATTACCAAGCAGATACTCATACACAAGCTATTTACACATCTCGATTACTTAATCCTTTTACAAAAAATCTTTCACAATCATATAATGAAGATTATGAATCTGACCTTTTAGATTATGCAATCTAAATTAATCTAAATTAAACCAAACAAGATATAAATAAGCATATTACAATACAAATTTCGTCTTCTTATTAAGAAAAATATGCTAACTTGATTTGATTATTCTATCTTAAATGTAATTGTTATTTTATAATTAAATTTTTTTAATGTACGTATGCGTGATGATTTGCAATTAAACAAATTATATTTATCAAAAGTTATTATATATAAATATGTAAGTTTTTATTTTCAATAAATAGAATCAGTTTGAAACTGGTTAATTTGAATAAAATATTTTTAAATGCTCAGTCTGAATTGTAATAATTATATATGTGAATTCGCTGATATATTCTTCAGTTCTTGTTTATTTTATTTATTAATTGCAAACTAAACTTTCATTCTTTAATATTTAAAAAATATTGAATAGAAATAACATTTTAAAATTGTAAATGATGATCAAAGATGTTGATTTTTAGTGTTACGATCCATCTCTACCATCCGGAGATATAATGCGGATATCTGCCATCCGTAGATGCAAATTGACCTTATTATCATATTTAGGCTAATTAGCTTGAGCAATCAAACTCAAACAGAATTTAATATTTCCCTATAAAATAAATTATGCAGAATAAATCTGGCATGTCTGGAAAATATCCAAATCATATAATTCAAAATTTTGATATACACAGTGAAATTTGATAAACCGGATCTATCGGTTCCACTAAAATATCTGGTTTATCGGGATATCCGGTATAACAAAAAAATTTTGATATATTGAAAATCTATTATACTGAATTTTTCATACTAATAAAACTAATATACACTATATTTTAATTTTTCATCTTAGTTTTAAGTCAGATGTCATGAAAATAAATATAAAATATTTTTAATTGTATATAAGTAATATATAACTTCAGCCAGAATTAAGGTTTTTATAATTCCGGCCAAAATTAAGATTTACTGCATCACATTACTTAAGCAAGTGATCACGTGATCTGGTTTGTCGAATAATTTTTAATAGCTGGTTAGAAAATTAATCCACTATAGCGTCAAGCTTTTACTAGTAAACTTCGGTATAACGAAACTATTTTAATATACGTGAATAACGTGATTTGGTTCCAGCAAAAAAGTCCGATTTAGGCCCAAATCCGGTTTATCAAATTTCACTGTGTATCGGGATTTGTCCAGAATTTGTCCAATATTTAAATTTTGGACAAATTCCAAGTTTATTAAAAAACAAAATGAACAGATATTTCGATCAACCGAATATTAATTTCTTGTGAATTATCTTACATACGTTTTTTCCCTTAATAGGCAATTTCCAAATCAACCCTTGCCATTTATTTTTATCGTTTATGTACACTACTAGAAGATAAACTATTGGCCCTTAAAATTAGCTCACATCCCCTTTAAATAATAATAGAAAAACCACTACATACTATATGTTATATTCTCATATAAAATCCACATGATCTACCTAGTAATTTTCATACGTTGTAACAATCCATGTGATCGTATAAATGAGAAACATTTCAAGGTTCTTGTAAATTACCTTGTGAATACGTGATGTCAAACTCATGCTTCCGATGTAAAAAACATGAAAAGGAATCGACGTGACCCACTTTTTTATTGAAATCAACTGAAGACTATTTATCTTCGTCAAAGGCGTAAAGAAGGCTTGTTAAAGCAAGTACACAACAATCGATATGGAGTTAGTTACACTATAAACATTCGCCTCTATCAAAACCGAAAGTATTGCATAATAGAGAAAAATTACCGATGTGATCCGATCTCCCCAGCAAAAGGAGAGATGGAACCGTCTCACTAAAATAGTCCTATTACAAGAAACTTCGACGGGAATTAGTAAGCCGTTTCTTCCTCATGAATCAAACTAGACTCAACAACCTTCTGTTATCAAACAATTACAACACATCCCTAAAAATATTGAATGAAAAATCACAAAGGATCGTTAACTTTACCTTCTTAACTTTCAGATTAGTATAAAGTTGACCCTCGGATTTATTACCGAATCCACCATCAAATAGACCTTTTTGACCCTGATGTTAAAGAGCGCTGCAACAAGAGTAGTGTTCAACAAATTTATCGCACTACGGTGTACAAAAATCTTATCATGGATTTTTCATTACACATACTCCCCCTATCACCTTTGAAATATAACTCCTACAGAATTTGTTATCTCGGACCGGGACAAATCTCTAATTGCAACTAGACCTATTTTTTCGACGAACTCCTCTGGATGATAACACCGATACCATAACCCTTCAGATTACCCCATGGACATGGAAGAAACTTCATCATCACAACATAATAGCCCAACGCCAGAACATTATTAAAAATACATTAAATTAAATGAACATTAAACACAAAACCTTTATACTAATGCATCATTCTATACCTGACAGTATTAAACACCTGAAATATCAATATCCAATTTTTCTATACAAAAAATATAAAAAAAAGCTCTTTTAACGTTAAAAAAGAAAGTTTCGAAAAAACAAAACTTCATCTGAAATCGCCCATAAATTCCGGTTTGTTGCTTTTATTTTCATTGAATTCCCTTATTTTTTATCTTCAGAATTTATAAACTATTTCGCAAAATTTAAAAATTTCTTATATTGACTATATAGCTAATATCCGATATGAATTAGTTTTCCATTAAAAGATAAAAATATTCATAATAATTGAGAAGAACAATATGGGAATAAGGAGTATAAATTTATCATATGACACTAGTAGTATTCTTTATAATTTAGGAACAAAAAGAATTTGTGAAAATTGTCAAGATGAATGTTTGGCGAAATTACCTAAAAGCAAAATTTACATATTGGACGTCTGAAAATGATGATATAGAAAAATATGTCAAATGGAAACACTGAATCCAAAAAAGATGGCCAGTATGGCAAATTTCAAAATATTCAATATTTAACTAAAGGAGGATGCTCTGAAAATTTATACACCAGATTGGATATCAAATATTGGGTGGGATAATTAAGAACAATTATTTAGAGAAAATATTGAAAATGCTAGTAGAAATTAGCTTAATAAGGTATTATAACATATATAACAAATTTATTCATAATGCAATAATATTAATTTATTTAAAATTTTCCTGAGCCTAAAAATGCAACAGATGGTACCATTATATAACAGATAACATTTATCTTGCAAATTTCATTATTGTATTAATATCTTTATATAATAATAACAGAAGAACAATAAGGTAGTGTAATATTAATAATAAAATTTCAAAGTAAAGCTTTTTGATTATAAACTAGCTGTAACCTGTCGAGTTAAATTAATAATAATAATAAAAATTACTGATCTATATTTGGGTATATTAGATTTTATATATAATATTAATTTGGGTTTTTATTTATTTATGAATTATAGTAATGCAGATAAAAAATAATATTTCACAATTATTGAAATGATATTAATTATATTTTCAATTTATTATGCTATTAAATACAATATTATTTACATTCCATATAAATAAATATTTATTATCAGATATTATGTGTACCTTGATACACTGATATGAAGTAGTTCTTGATAAAAAGCAGGCATAATGGTAGCTTAAGCAAAAGTGATAAACTGATTTACTAACAGACAATTTCACACTAATTACATATAAAAATATATTTAGATAACGTGCAGTGAAGTTGTGAGAAGTTGTAAGTGTTTAGAAATTTAAGCAAAACATGGTATAATTTTATTTATTTTTTTGTTTATATCATGTTTTAATAAAATTTTAAATTTAACATAATTGACTTTAAAAGATAGGTGAATTTTATTATTCAAAATCAGTGAAAGTGAAATTTTTTGTGAATTTTTAACTTCTTATTATTAAGATTTATGTTAGTGTCATTAAAATCATCTTAGTTAAGGCTTTTATTTTGATATATATTAGGCTTAAGTTAAAAATATTAAAAAAAATAAATAATAAACTACAAAAATAAATAATTTAGCAAATTTTAAACCTATTTTTGTAAAAATGCCGTTATAATTCGTCAGATTATACTTAAAATGGAGCTTGTAATTGAGCGTAATTTCGCTTGATTTAAATAATAGGGCGTTAAAATACATAAATTTTTTGCGTGCTGATATTTACACACGTGATAGTATCGTTCATCCGATCATTTCCGTAATAGTTTTACGAATTTAAGGTAAATTCCGTAGATCAACGGATATGAATTTGTATGTTGTCCATCTGTTATTGTAATGGGCTTGATTTTCTTTATGTCAATCTCTTTTTATGTTGATTCAACGTTATTATGAATTATATTTATGGTTTACATGAAATAGTTATGACGGCAGCATTACAAATGAGTTTTTATTGGCATTAATAATTATTAATAATTAATAATAAAAAAAACAATATTAAAAGTGTTAATTATGCTAATTATTTAAAAATTATATAATTTAAAAAATTATTAATTATTAATTTGACTGGGTTAAATTATATTTATTATTCTAACTAAAAAGATCAAACAAAATATATTTGTTATTTGAATAAAAAAAAATTGTTTGATTATATCGCTATACTGAACAAATACAAACCTATAAGATGAAAATAAAAAGAGTGATAAAAAAAAAATTAGAAAAAAAGAAAATATTAGTAAAAAAATGCTGAAAAAAAATTTCAGAAAATAAGGTGCTTGCTGTAGCACCGCGGCGCCAATCTGACCACCGATCCAAACCTAAAATAGAAAAAAAAACAATCAAGAAAAAAATTTTTCAGTTTGGAAATAGAACCAAACCGGAAACCGAAAAATGAAAAAAAAAGTCCAAAAAAAAAAATCAAAAATTTTTAAAAAAAAGCAAGTGACAACAAGTGTTTCATTAACAAATTTTTTCAAAACTGAAACTGTTAAAAATTTGACGAAAGTATTTTGTCAGAACTGTGCTATTCGTGATCTCTCAGACTCGCAAATGTCTAGTTCATGAATTTACATCATAAACTGTTTGATGACATGCCCAATGACATTCCCATTAAAAAATATTAAAAATATTACGGTCATATATTTTTCGATGAAAGTATTAATAATTCGAATCTTCGAGTATTTCCGCTACTAAATAGATTGTTGTGATGGTTATGAGATGCGGGATAGGCCGTACATTACAGATAATAAAAATTTGCAATTATACCTATCGCGGCTATAGGACGCCGGGATCAAGTTATCTTAATGAATATTTTCAATATCTATTTGGTAAACCTAAAGGTTATCTGGAGTATTAACAATATAAACCTCCCATTAAAAGAAAACACATGAGTATTTTTCAATATGCTTGCTATCTTAATAGAAAATTAATTGTACGCTTATGAATAAATCGCAGCCATGTTCAAATAAGAAAGCTATCTAACGACAATTTCTTGACATGATTTAAATCAATTTATTATGAGAAGATTAGTGAATCAATGACGTTAGAGTTTTATCGAAACAAAATTAAAGATCTTAGCGAAATTTGGTGAAAATTAATTGATATCTATTATGAGTATAGCGAAAAACTAATCAATTTAGGTGGATCCCGTCATCATGTGTAACAATGCGATTGAGTCATTGAGAGAAATAATGTGATGATAATACTATGTTACACCGAGTGATACTAATTTCGAAATTTTTGTACAAGGTTGCCTTAAACTCAGTAGCATTGATAATTTTAGATATATTAATTGCAAAAAAGTCACTTTTGTAGCTAGTACTATATGCATTTGTTACACAAATAAGAACACCACCTAGAATTGTAACGTTATTAAACCCTTATGGGAACATATTGTTATGAATTGGGACACAACATTGGCGTTTACACATTCGTACGCATGAAAATTTAATAAATATATGCATCAGAAAATTTTTCAGGGTGTAAGGTTAGGTACCTGTCGCAAAGGGTACGCAAATAAATTTCCTGATGACTTAAAGACAAATTTTTTTTTTGAAAACGAACTATTAATTGTATAATAAATTTGGCTTGGACAAAATCAAAGAAATATTATGAACGTAGAGTTCGCTACAGAAACGGAGATTACAGCTGTTGCAATCTCTAAAGATAACAATTTTATCACAAATGCAAGTTATAATAAGTCAGATAATACAGTTACATTATGGAATCACTCCATCTATTCAGATACTTTTCATGATAAAGGTTCTATAAAGATTAATCTCGAAGAGAAGGCTCCCCTCAATGACAAGATTGATTTGACCATCTCTAAATTAATTCCGTCATCAAATTCTAGATTCGTTATCTTATCCTACCTATTCAAAGAAAATGATTCAAGAAAAGTAAAGGCTATGTTCATAGTTTTGCAATGGGAAAATGACAACACAGTTGTGAATATAAATTCAGAAAACGATCCAGTAGTAGACAAAGCCAAAACTGTGTTAGACGAACCTATGGATGATGCTAAAATTGTGTTCAAAGTTTTTAAAAATGGAAAAAAATCAGAAGCGGATATTTTGAGAAAAGTTAAGAACAAAATTGAAGTTGAATTCAGCAAAATTGAAGATGGATTCATCAATGCTGAATTCCTTGCCGATGGTGTAATCCTTGCTATCAAATATAAGACCACCATTCAATTTGCGTCGATAGCATCCGAGCCTTGGACTCTGTTCAATATCAAGTCTTATTTACGCAACCAACACAACCAAGAAGTATTCGATATCAAATCTTATTTACGCAACCTACGCAATCAAGTGCTCAATATCAAATCTTATTTACGCAACCTAGTACGCAACCTACGCAACCTACGCAACCTACGCAACCTACACAACCTACACAACCTACACAACCATGATTCTGAAGTAGTTTTAGCCTTTAACCCACTAAAACACGAAATCTATGTTCTTCTACCCTGGCGTGGAAAAAAGATTGTTGACATGGTCCGTATCAACGTAAATTCATATGAGAAATGTATTATCGAATTCAACAGAATTTCATGCATTTCAAACATTTCAAAAATTCAAAGTATTGTTGGCAAAAAAGTAGTCATGTCTTCCACGGGTGACTTACTTGCTTTTGAAAATGGTCCTATTGTGGAAAAACAAACGGGCTTACATATTGCAAATATTGCAGAAGAACATGTGTCATCAAATAAAAAAGATTTTCTGTTTATGAATGATGACCGGCATTTATTTATAGTTTATTCTGACGAAACTTCCTTAAAAGCTATATTAATTGATGCCTGTTCAGGCACTGAATTGAAATCTGTGAAAACACCACCAGAACCTGAATTAGCCAACCTGAAACATATTCAACTTATCAATGACGATGTTATAACTGTGACATCAAATAAAAATAATGCTGTCATCAAAAAACGGCATTGGAAGGAATTTTTTCGTAATCAGCCAAAGAAAATACAGTTAGAAGAATGGCAGTTGGAGAAATGGCAAGTCAAAGGAATTCTTCTCCCTAGAAACTTCGATTTTGATAATTTCGATTTTGATAATTTCGTTTTGAAAGAAAGAAGTGACATCAATATTGACGATGATGCCGATTGTTTTTTTCTGTTCTGGAAGGATAGAAAGAATAATAGTGAAACTAGATGCTTAGTATGGATGCTTAGTGAAATAGAAAATTCAGGCAATAATCCGACAGTTAAAATTAAATTTGATGTAGATGTAGATGGCACTTTACGGCTCTATGATGAGAATAAAGCTGAGGAATTTTACACTTTTCTGCCTCTAAGTTCAACTATAAATGATAAGAATTTACCCGCTGAATGGGTTCAATCAAGCTGCAACTATCTTAAGAAGAGAAATTTAAATAATAGTTTGAAAGAAATCATTATAAATTCTATCAGACAGTATGTCGATAACAATGTATTTAATGGCACAACAGCGATCTGTGACCTTATTGATAGTGATGCTAGTGATGTTGACAACATAATAATGGCAATTCTGGGTTACAAGAAATATATGCCAACAGGGCTCTACAAGAAGAATCCGCTAACAAAAGCAATTGAAAAGGAAAATATTGTTTTAGTTGGAAAAATACTTGAATATTGTTTGCATGTTCATTATTTCCGTAATTACGAACCAGGATTTATGTCCGTGGTTGTTGATGCACTGCCGTCACTTACAGATAAATACCCAGAAATGTTACTCAAATTGTTGGAGCAATGTACTTACCTCAAGGTTCCATCAGATTGGGAAATAGGCTTTCAAGGAGTGTATTCAACTAAAAATCATAAAAGTCGTGAGCTCAACCGTCTTACAGAACAACCAGCAAGTTTAACATCTAAGAATCTTTATATAGATCTATACTCAGCCACGTACTGCCATGTACCTCTGTACAACTTATTTCACAAACCTCGGCGTGATCCTCTTTTTCTAATTATTTTGCATACTCTCAAATTCGATTTTTCATATTTGTCACGATTATACTCATATGATAATTTAAGTCCATTTGCTAAATTAACCTTTCTCCGGTCTTCCGAGGTTTTCCAGTCTACATTTTTCAAAACAATTGTTATCCACAGGATTATGAAAGTATACACTTATCTTTATGTTTATCTTGTTTACTACATTGTTTACTTTTTATTTTATTTGGCAGCAACTACTACTGCTAAAAGCGACCCCGTAAAAAGTAGTCAACTGATGTCTTACAGTTTAATCTATGGAGCACTTTGGGCACTTGTCCTTATCCCCCGACTTTTTGCGAATTTTTTCATTTTCAAATTCATCAAATATAAAACGAAAAAAGCAAAAAAGCTTTTTACAACTTTAATTGAACTTGCAGCGTTTATTCTTCCTGTTACTACTGGGTGCCTGGAGCTCAGCAATAAAACTGCATCTCCAGAACTCCGATCTCTCTCTATCCTATCTTTATGGATCATGATCTTTTTGCAGCTTCGTTTCATTGAGAAGATAGGCATGTTCGCCGCTGGTAAGAATTTCTCAAAAACTACCTCCTTAAAAGATCGACAAATTTTAGTGATTATTTTATTTTACCATTCAAAGTTTTCACAAATCTCTTCGAGCAGATTATGCCGCTATTGATATTTTTATTTTTTATTTTGTTTGCCTACGCTAATTCGTTAATGGTCCTCTTGTCAGAAACCTCGCCTGATAACGGAGTCAATACATTTACGGGCTTTTATCAATCAATCAAGAATACTTGGTTAATTCTTTTAAATGATTATAGTTCTCTGGAGCCATGGACAAAAAATTATTTACTAGATATTCTCATGATTACTTTTTCATTGAGCACAGCAATTATATTGTTTAACGTTTTGAGTATGCATTAAATATTTTTTTTTTATCACTCTTAGCAATATCTAACATACTTTTTGTTGACAGTCGCGCTCGTAAGCAATGCTTATGAAGAAACACTTAAGAATGCACATACCATTTGGGTTATAGAACTGGCGGAAATAATTGCAGAAATTGAATTAAATCCTTTAATATCACATTACTTCCCTACATTACGGGCTGAAGTACCTTGGACCATTATTTATAGGGCCTCCACTGAAGATGTTGAAAAGTGGGCGACTAAACATGAAGAGATGAAAAAAAAATATCAAAACATAAATGATAAATGGACTACTAAATTTGATAAGGATAAAATGAACGATGAAATGGTGAAAATTAAATGAAATGATAGTTAAATTCTTATACTCTATTCATATGATGACATATGACCATATTCCTATTCTATACTGGTTAAATGGAACACATATATAGTGAAATAAAATGGGCCACAAAGGTGCTAAATTCCAGGTCCCACCTACATCTAAAATATATCTTAAATTGGGAATAAAAATAATCTTAATGTGAAAAAATAAACAAACCCTAATTACAATATTGATACTCATGTTAATTGTAATAGTAATAAACCACGTGAAAAGGTAGAAGATCGTATCATAAAGGAATTATCAATGAGTATTACAGAAGTAAAATGATGAAAATGATCGACATTTTGTAAAAAAAAAATTTTTGTTCTTTACTAATTACTATGAATTTTTTCTAATAAGTAAAAAAAATAGTATACAATAACTTTCCTGACCAAAAAAAAAAATTTTACAAACTTGCATTATGGGTATATATATGTGGTATTGATAGGAACTGTACAAAATTAACAAAGAATGTAAACGTTAAAAGGATTCAAATAAAGCTAAATAAAAAGTTTAAAAACTAAATAAAAACCAAATAACTTAATTGTAGCAAAAATTATTTAAAAATATTTCATCCAATATTTGAATTAATAGGGAATTTTCTATCGGAATCTTGCGTTCCTACATAGAAAAGTCAAAGACGTGAAACTCTAGCGATTTCAAATTTCGTAGCTTATTTTTTATTCCTATTTTTATTTTTACTTATGAACGGTGAATACATTGTAAGATACTTCAGATGAGTATAAATAAACATGCGTGAGTATTGATCTAAACTAAATGTACGAAATCCAAACTGGCGGACCCACCCTTCGTTATAGCAGTGAACGAACAAGGAGCAATTAAAAACTATAGTAAAAATGAGGGGAAACATATGAAGAAGAAATTAAAGAAAAAATTGGTAACCCCGGTTAGGATTGCTCTCTCCGGGTGTTGACTACCAACAAACTTCGTGGCTTGGCTATTATCTTTAAAAATTGTACGTCATATCACGTGATGAGGCGACAATAAAAGGGAGTATTAGCCATTTTGGCGATAATTTGCGTAAATTGTGCAATCGGCATTATTAAATTTCTCCGGTTGAGTGGCGATATGTCCCTTAATTATTATGTGGTTTTAATATTATTGAATTAAGGTATAGTTCGCAACACGAAAAACAAAATGATCACAATCCGCAATCATATGATTTGAATTGAACATAATTAAAAAATTTCCAATAATTTGTTTGACCAAATAAGTATTTTGTAATCTATATTAAACAATATCAATAGAAAATGTAATTATTAGACAGATTTCATTAAAAAAATCGTATAATATAATTAAACTCACAATCATACACTAATACAGTAATACACATTACCACTTTTATTTTTCATCTCTATTATCAAAAACATATAAGATATGTCAAACTTTTAGAGCGAGAAATGTGCAATAAAACTTTCCATACGTCCACTTTATTTATTACTTCTAAATAATAGGTATAATAAAACAGTTACTCGGCACAATGTGAGAATGTGAGATATAATGAATATTTTTGGGATAAAGTCAGTTCATTTGTGACATTAACTTTTGTAATGGGTTTCAATTTCCTCTTTCGACGCAATTACAGCATATGGACATGTCGTAAATTATAGAAAATGAAATCAAAATGTTCATTTATAGTACAGAACAAAAGAATGTTAGATTAAATCCGGTGAGAACGTATACTGATACATTGATCATCCCATTCGTCTAGTTCAAGTTAAGGTGAGTATTTCATATTTATATTTCCCTTTAGCGATTTCAAATAATTCATTAAATTCACCACTCCTTTCACACATTCCTTTAAAGATTCCATTAGGTTTTTGCATTAATATGTATGGTGAATCATATTCTATTATATTACCAGCATCTTTATTGTTTTTTATTCATTCCAATAGTTTTCAATCTGCACACCGCAATATTACTTATATATTGAAGACGAGTCTACTGTATTTACAAAACCTGAATTTGTAATTGAAATTGAAAGTACTAAAAGATTAGTTTGATCGTTAGAGGGGTAAATATTAAAAAGGAAAAGTCAACTTTGAGACAAATTTTATGGTTAACAGTTAACTTAATGAAAACGTTAACATTTTAGATAGACTCAGAGAATAATCAGATCTTATACCCCACAATATTTGTAGATACTAGTAGTTAGATCAAAATGTTGCGTTTTTTTTGTATCATTCTTCTATTTTGTTTTAATAAATTTATGAATTAAACCTAAAAAAAAAAAATGTTAACATTAACATTTCGTTTGTTCTTAATGCTAAATTTAACACCAAAGCTCGCCCACCACTTGATATATCAAAGATCTTTTTATACTTTTTTTTATTTTTTAAAATAAAAATTTTTCAAGAATATATCATAAAGCAATTTGATTGTCATTGTATAATGCCTTTCTATAGCAAACAATTTATGTAATCATAAAATTAGATAATATAAAATTAATAATCAGATAATTTATTGATTTTAAAATGTAATATTTTTTTGGAATATGTTAAAATATTTAATAGTTACTCGGCGCAAATTCCACCAATCATATTGCTTATACAAGGCACGATAGTACCGCAGTTACGAGGTCTGAAAAATATGATATATCACGTGATTGATGAGCTGCGCGTCGAAATCTATTTTTCGATTTTTATTAGCTTTTCAAAGAAGGATTCAGTAAAACAGAATAGTCCGAAATTTCCATTTTTGAAATTTTTATTAAACAGACTTTCATTATTCAATCTTTCGATTTTTCAATTTGACTCGATCGGTATACCCGTGTACCATAATTATTGGTAATCATATAACACGTAATACCTCTGAAAGGTAATATTCATATTAACTCCAGGTACTTCATTCACCATGGCTATTGACAAATTGTCACTGTCCTTAGATACTTTTTCCACTTATTTCGCCGAAAGTTATTTCACCGACAAGTACTAAATACATAACTTATTACAATAAAGATTCATTAATTATTTTATTTATTTCATAATATTTCATAATATAATTAAACACTAAACACAAAATTTTTAATTTATTCAAATTATAACGTATAATTTCATCTCTTAACATTAAAAAATTTAAAAAAAAATATCAGTTCAATAATTTGTGAAGCTGAGTAAAAAATCGGCGAAATGATTTTTGGTGGACTAACACATTAAAACTGTCGATTAATTTTTGGTGAACTTTGTCGGTAAGTTGACTGTCGGTGTAACAATTGCCAGTGAAATAAGTTGAAACTTTTCCAACTTAGAGTTTTGATCATCTCTTTGATTAGTAGTTTCCTCTTAGCCCATTTTCGTGGGTCTTCTGACGGTTACGCTTCCGCCCATTTTCGTGGGTTTTCTGACGGTTACACTTCCGCCCATTTTCGTGGGTCTTCTAACGGTTACGCTTCCCGGTTCTGAAGCTGCCTCAACTTAAGAGATCGAATATTCTTCAATTCCTTTCGCTTATTTAGATTCAGTTCTTGAAGATATTTAAATGATTAATATAACTGTATTTAACAAACTTTTGATAAAATATAACTTACAATAACAATTTTTAATATTAAAATAATAAAGTACTTCAATTAGTAAAGGATATAGTTAAATAATATATAGATACAATTTCGTTAAAAGATCTATTACAAAATATTTGAAAGAAATGCTTGATAAATGATACTAAGATTTGGGATTCAAGTGATAAAAGATGAAGAAATCTTTGAACGAATTAATGAAGAGGATAAATTTAATAAGAAAAATCATCTTTTACAAAATCGCCAATTAATACTGATCTCGGAACTTGGCACACGTTAATATCAAGCGCAGATGGCGGTTATATCAAAAAACCAATAAATAAACGGTTTAAGCTAGAAAATTGAATTTCAATTTTTTTAACTGACCGGTTTCCCAGTTTCAAAAATGCATCATTAATTTATCATAAATTATTTCAAAATAAATTTATCATAAATATTTAAAATACGCTATACGTTAATTTGCAAATTTTCGATTTATAATTTCATGTCCAATTTTGAATTATCATTTAGGAATTGCGATTAAAGATTTTTATAAAATAGGAACAATTTTTTTTTTTTGTTTTTTTAAATTTATTAGATTAATAAAATACATGAAATATGAAATTTTACAGAAAGAATAAACTATTTTTTAAAAAAACAAATTTTTTTTTTTTTAATGAACGGTGAAAAAATCACCAACCAGTGATGATTCATCACCGAATCAATTTATAAAAAACCAAGAAAATAAGAAAATAAGAAATGATAAAAAACTTTTTAAACAAACAAACAACCTAAACCTTAACAAACAACAAATAAAAAAAAAAAATTAATTTTGTAGTATTATATTAATCTAGGTTTCTCAAATAATTTATAAAAAGGAAGGTACATTTTATATATATATATATATATCTATATATAAAATAAATAATTAAAACGTGAAATTATTAATTTTTTAAAGATCTTCTAGATGCACCGATTGATCTTCTTTTCTTTGATTCCCAACAATCGGCATATTTCTTTATTCTAACATTGGCACAATACAAGTAATTGTTTCCAACGTTATCATCCCATCTGAATCTCATTACACAATCTTCGTTATCACATTCTTCGTGTGGTACCATAACAAAAGCAGTGAATAAGCCTTTTTCCATACCACATGTGCCTAAGTTTTCGAAAGTCTTGAAATCTTTATCGTATTTACTACCATATCGAGACATTTGCATTAAACAGTCACCACCGTGAGTAATAGTTCTATTATAGGCGACTAAAATTTTTTCACCAGGTTTGTATATTGTAACTGGTCCTGGACTATCACCGGCTAAACCACAGGGGAATTCCTTGGTTGGGTTGGAAACATTGGCGATTACTTCAGTACCATTATGACCATATGGAAGTCTTGGAATAGGGCTAAGAAGAATACCATGAGCTGAAACTCGTCCAACGAGTCCAATTAAAAGTGTGAATATAAGAGCGAAGTTGATAACACCAGAGATTTTTGATTGAACCATTATTAAGATTTAGTCAATAAATATTTTTTCGTTAAAAAGTTTCGTATTAAAGGACAATTTTTAATAAATGAATTTGAATTCTTATTTTCTTATTTTCAAAATATAGATCAGTGAATTCTTTGCTCCTTCAAAGTCAGAAATTTTTTGGGATTTAAATATCTTTTCAAAAGA